TGAAAGGCCCTTTCTTTTGAGCAAATAGCATCATACACGTTGCCATCAAGAAAATGAAAGCATTTGCAGTGGCGCGGCATCCAGCTTCTCTCTGTGGCCTTTGGAAACAATTTTGTGACCAGAGAATGGTTGGAGACAAAGGTCTTTCTATCTGATCTGCTCACCAGGCTGGCATGGGATCGTGGGGGGCCTGTGTCCCTCTTTTCTGGCACCACACGGATTGATATCACTGCATTTGTCTCCTCTCTTTGATTAGGACAAGGCAGGCAGGCAGCAGAGGGTTATATTTCAACTGCCCTTGACTCTGTTTATAATCACAAACATGAAAGGAAGGGAAAGAGATTGAGTTTATAGGACTGGTTCTTTGTGTAGCCTAATTTATCTCTCTCAGGCAGCAGTGGGCTGAGCAAGTTTCCTTTTTGTTTCCAATGCAGGAAACTGAAATATGAATCTATGTTGATGAGAGAATAAAGGAATTGAAAGAGGCATAAATCTTATCTTCTTGCAACCCTAGAAGATCAGCTTCTTGTGAAGAAGGGGATTATACTTCTGTAATTAACTGCTTTGCAGCTCCTGGTGATGGCTCAGAGCTGAATAATAGCACCCAGCCAAGTTGGATAAAAGACTGTCGGGTGGGCGGGTGCGGCCGCTCATCGTGAACAATGGTCTCAGGGCTTGACATCCTTTCCCAGTGCCCCGTGCTCAGAGAGTCCAACCAGGAGATATTTGTTCCCTGTCTATCAACATTCACAGCAGAGAATAAAATTCCAGAACAAATAGCTCAAAGAGACCTGTTTCACTGGAGGCTGGTAGCTGCAATGAACTGCCTCAAAGGACCAAGCGAGGTTCTACACCTCTTTGTGTTCCAACCAGTGCCCGGGACCTGTTAGGTGCTTATTGAATGCTGGTTGGAGGTGACTGCTTCTCAGCCGCTGTGCTGTCTCAGGAAAGTTGCCTCAGTTCTCTGATCTTCAGAGTTAATCATCCACACAATGCAGGGGGTTCTTATGGAATTCTTGTGAGGAAGAAATCAGATCATGAGTATAAACAAATTGCTTAGTACAGCCTGGCACATGGCAGGTGATCAATAAATGGTAGCTATTATTATTATATTGTGAAATAAAAATGGATTGTGGACGCATAGCCATTATAATAGTCAATGTTTATGAGGCTTCCCCTATGCAGACACTGCATACCTATTAGTACATGAAAGGCCCACAGCATCCCTCTCAGGTCAGCAGGATTCTTTCCCCCCATTTCACTGGTGACAAAATGGGCTCAGAGTGGAATGATGATCTGCTATGGTTAGGAGCAGGAATGGAGACTGACACCCAGGTCTTTCCCTTGTCCCTTTTTCCTTAGCCCCTGCCCCTCAGTACTGGAGTCACAGGTACTCAGCCCCTCAACCCACTGTACTCTGAAACTCACAGGATCAAGCTTCTGAGCCATCTGTGTTTCCTTTTCTCCTCCATGCTGCATGCTGAAATCTCTAGGAATCCTAGAGATTCTTCTTTTGAGATGTTTCCAAAACATCTCCCTTCTTCAATCCCACTGCTACTCATGCTGGTACAGACCCTCGGTTCATGACAACCAGGCTTCCTACATCAAGCAGGCACCCGAGTAGTGTCTCAGGCCCAGGTCCTCTTTCTGTCACCCCTCACATCAGTGTCAGATGAGTGATCCCTCACCCCACTCTCCTGTCCTTCCCCCCTGAGGGAGCAACAACCACTCCCCTGCCATATTAAGTCAGTTCCATGTTCCTTTCCTGGTATTCAAAGCTCTTTAGCTGACCCACCCAAACTTGTCTTCCTACTCACAGTCAGAACCTCGGGTCCAGCTGAGCCTGTCTCAGTTGCCCTCAGGCAGGCACCCGCAGCCACTCTGTGGGCTCTAAGGATTAGACCCTTGATAAAGACTCAAATGTCCGCATTCAGTGCACAGTTAAGTGTTTAACAGAGTTATGGAACATAGAGATCATGTCTTCCATTCACCCACCCATTTTACAGATGGAACCCAAGGTCCAGAGAAGCTCAATATCATGCAGTGAATTAGTTTCAGAACCAAGTCTCAAAGCTAGGCCTTTAAGCTTAGAATTCAGCGTTCTTCCATTGGGTCAATAGGCCATACCACCTTCAGTAATGACTGGCTGCCCGTGGCTGGCAGGGGCAATTTATTTAGTCCTCAGTCTACATATGGGCCCTAGACCTGTGTGGTGCCCCAGAGGGTCAGCCTGAAGCCTGCTGAGGCTCTGAGGTAGGCGCTGGGGACAGGGATGTGATGGGCAGAGGCTGGGTGGTGGCAGCAGCAGAGGTGGGGGTGGGAGATTGAGATTTAGGGGGACTGTTGTGTATCTCAGCAGCTGTAAGACAGATGAAAATGGAGCTGAGTGCCAGGCCAAGCAGTGTGCTGTGGGAACATGGCAATTAACTTCTCTATTTGGATGGGAGATGGGATCCAGGAGGGCTTTAGGGAAAAAGTGGCCTGTGACTCTGAAGAACAAGAAGGACCATGTTCATGGCACCAGAGGTCAGGTATTCTGGATGGAGGAGCAGCATGGACAGGGCAAGACTACCTGGCATGTACCTGGTGAACAGCGCAGCTACAGCAAGGGAGGCTGGAAAAGCAGAGGAACCTGGACTCCAGCTCTGACTCTGCATCTGGCCTGGCCCCCTCAGGGTTTGGGCAAGTCACTTCACCTTCCTGAACCTCAGTGTCCTTGTATGTGAAATGGGCATCACGATGTTATCTGTCTCCTAAGGCTATTGTGGGGATTAACCTAAATAGTAAGGCACCAAATACGGGGCCTGGCACGTAGTAGGTATTCAACAGAAGACCTAGTGTGGCTGGAGCTGAGGTTATTGGGCCACAGAGACAAACAGATGTTTGGATGGCACTGTTTTCTTTTGCCTTCCAATGGGCCCTTTCTGCTCCTTCCCGGAGCTTACCAGCTGGCCTGGGAGGGCTGCTTGCCCACTCATAGTTGCCAAGATGTTTGGCTGTGCCCCCGTCCAGAACCATCTTCTGGTCCTGTCTTCATCCTTGAGCTCTTTCCAGCCTGCACCCAATAGGGTACTCGTGTTCCAGGTCTGCTAACGTTTGCTGGCAGAGCCCATGTTTGGGAGCGTGAGATGTGTTTAGGTAGAAACAGACACTGAAAACAGCTGCTGGCTTCTCTGCCGTGGTAAACAGGGAATAAAGCCCCCCAACTGTGGGCTTCGCTGGGGAGTGGGGAGCACAAGGCAGGCCCTGCTTACTGTTGCTTTTCGGGAGGGGAAGGCCATTTTTCTTTAGGGAGTGGGCCAGCCCCCTCAGGATTGGGTTGGGACAGGGGTGGGTTGAGATGCATGGAGGGAGTTGGAAGCCCTCCCTCTCCCTGGACTTCTAGCTGTTTGAAGACTCCATAGGCACTTTCTACCATTTGGTGTCTGCGAGACAGGGTCATTTCTTTAAGCCTCTATGGATGGACCATCAGCAGAAGCAGTTTTTGGCATGTCCTTGTACTGTGTTGATAAGTGATGTCAAACTTACCTTCACATCAGCATCACTTGGTTGGTGCTGATTTAAACATACATATTCCCAGGCCCTTCCTGAGGCTCGCGGAATCAGAATCTCTGATGGAAAGGCCCAGGAGCCTGCATTTTAACAAACTCTTCAGGCGATTCTGGTTCAGGCATTCAGGGAACTACACCTTGAGGACCACTGGCAGGTTTCTAACAGGTTATCTGGGAAACCAGGGGGAAGGGGCAGTCAGGAGGAGGAGAGGGCCAGCCCCACTGCCCTTAACATGCACGTCCTGTTATGCTTTTTGACTTGGACTTGGAAGCAGATGCTTTTAGATGCAGGTCTCCTTAGAAACAGATGCTATCCCTGTTCTAGAATATAGAATAGAGTAGTTCCCCTTCCTCTAGGTGTGCCTCGTTTGCTGTCCACCCACTCATCCATCTATCCACCCACCCACCCATCCATCCACCCACCCACCCACCCATCCATCCACCCACCCTTTCATCCACTCACCCACACACCCACACACCCACCCATCCATCCATCTACCCATCCTTTCTGGAGTGCCCACCTGCTTTGTGTCTGGCTCTGGGCTGAGCTTTGGAGACACCAGAACTCTCCATTTAGACAAACAGACACATAAATCATCATAATACAGGGGGATCTGTTCAATGATCAATGTCTCAAATAAGTACTGTGGTGGCACAGGCAGAGATGACACAATCCACTGGCAGGGAGAAGGGATCAGAGAAGGCTTTGGAAGACAGCAACCTGTGAGTGGGCCATAAACGGTGAACAGTTTGCTAGATAGAGAGGGTGAGCATGAGGGTGTGTAGGAGGGAAGGTCAGTTCTGCGAACTAAATCCTTTCACATCCACATTCAGAGCAGGGGCCTATCCCCAGGCCCTATGGAGCCCGTATTCAGAGGCTCATCTGTAGCTGTAACCTCTAAACTTGGCCCTATCTCCTGACATTTCTGAGTGAAAAGGAATCACTCTCTAGTGTGTGTGCTGCAGGCCCGTGGTGGCTGTCACAGTACAGTTATTGCGGAATTAACAGGTGAACAGCCATCCAAGTGGAGAGGCACAGAATACTTCCGGTCCTAGCTCTGTCTCCAACTCACTGTGTAACTGTGGACAGTTTCGGCCTCAGTTTCCCCATCACTAAGATGGGAGATTGGCTGTCAACTCTGCCAGCTTTCTGCCTGGAGTGCAGCCCTGACACCCTGCCTGCAAGACACACGTTAGCAACGACCGTTCTCTCTATGCCAAACTCATTTGTCTGAGCATATCAGCAACACGACACCTCGCAGTTCAGTGGATTTGATGTGAGCTCCGGCCCCTGGCATACCTAGCGTGTAATACCTGCAAGCTGAAAAGGAGCATTTGAAGGCAAACTGCATGGCAGGAGGAAGCCTGTAGGTGGCGCTGTGGCTCCGGTTGCCGAGCTGCTCTCCGGAGATCCATTTTCAGAGGATCTGGGAAAACCGGGCAGGGTTGATGGCAGCTCTTTCTTCTCGGTGCCCTCGCAGTGCAGCAGGCCCCGCTTATTTGCAAGAAGTAGCCAGGTCAGCCCACTGGGCCTCCCCACCCCTTGTGCCGCTTCGCATGTTTCAGAGCGCTGTCTTTTCCTCTGGGTCCTTCCATTCAGGAGAGGAGAAGGAGGAGGTGAGCCTGTTGAGAATGGCGTTGGTGGGGCAGGGGCCGGTTCCCCTGTTTCTGGGGAGCCTTTCTGTGCTGGTTGCAGGCAGGGGCCCTCAGTGTGGAGCTGCGGTGAGCCTGTACCCCGTCGTATTTGGATCACAGCCCCCGTGACCCCCAGCGCCCTCCAGGCACTCCACACCTGCAGTGATTCGCTTGGTATTTTAAAAGCACTCCATCTTCTGCCTGCTGCCTTCTCTCCATTTATCTGGGTCCGGGTTTTCGCCGAGCCATCTAATAAAGAATCCAGGGGGGAGAATGATGGGGGCGAGGAGAGGGAAAGTGCTAACATTTATTAAGTGCCTGCTGGGTGCCCAGCATTTCCTCAACAACTAGAGCAGCGGTCTTTCTGCTTTCTTTCAGCTGCATGACGCTCTCCTCCGTCCAAAATCGCAGGCCTAACCTGGCCGTGTAAAACAAATAGCAGGGAAGCACCTCTGATGGAAGGGGATGGGGCACCTAAGGTCCTGTCCCTCACCATTTCTCATCCTCCCCACTCCTAACAGACACTTTGGTACTTCCGTGAAACCTGGATCTAAAAGCTCTGAGCTCATTAAATCTATATATAACTATCCAAGGAAATAGTATCCCCACTTTTCTAATATAAAGCTAAAGGCCAAAGAGGGAGAGTGTAGGACCATACAATTTTTGTTTATGTTTTTTGTTTTTGTTTTTGTTTTTGAGATGGAGTCTCGCTGTCACCCAGGCTGTAGTGCAATGGTGTGATCTTGGCTCACTGCAACCTCCACCTCCCTGGTTCAAGTGATTCTCCTGCCTCAGCCTCCTGAGTAGCTGGGATTATAGGCACACGCTACCACGCCCAGCTAATTTTTGTATTTTAATAGAGACGGGGTTTCGCCATGTTGGCCAGGCTGGTCTCAAGCTCCTGACCCCAGGTGATCCGCCTGCTTTGGCCTCCCAAAGTGCTGGGATTATAGGCATAAGCCACTGCATCTGGCCCAGGGACATGATTATTAAAGGGGAGACAGCCAGACTGGGGAGGCAGGTGTGCTCCATTCCCAAGCCCATGCTTGCGCTGGCTCTGCTGGGAAGACAGTAGGTGCTTTGCTTCCTAAGGAAGGGCAGGAAGGGGTGGCTCCTCCAGCTGTACAGAGGACCAGGCCAGATACACATGGCCCTGTTTGGTGCTTGGCTCTCTGGTAACTGCCTGCCACGGAGGAACTCAGGTAGGACAAGAGAACCGTGGGTGGTGGGAAACACATGGGGAATGGGTTCTGCGCCGCCAGTGAAATGGTCTTGCAGCCCGCCAGGCTCCAACGTGGCTGACTTTAGAAGAAATCAGCCAGCCATGGATTGCTGGAGATTCAGACACAAGCTTTCCAGGCCCTGATGAGTCCTTTTTTTCTTCCAGGACAACTGGGGTTTGAGACTGTAAGCTGTGACCCAGATCTTGGTTCCCATTTTGCACATGAAGAGAAGATTGGCCCTTAAAAAGCAAAATGCTTTAAAAAAAAAGGAATTCACTGTTTTTGCTTGCAATCTGTTGTTTGCTTATAATCTTATAATGACCATCTATTTGGATTCAGAAATACCTGGGTCAAAAAGTGATGTCGGTGCTAAGACCTGACTTCCTGCATCTCAGTTGCCTCCTCTGTAAGATGGCATCACAAACACTCCCGGTGCCATCGGGCTGCTGTCACTGGTTCTTGTGTGTGGAAATGTCAATCCCAGGGCCTGAGGTGTGCAAAGTCAATAGTGGTTCTCTCCCTACTTCCACCCCCTGGTTTTTCTCAAACCCCGTTGAATGTAGAATGTGTCCTAAATGGAAGTACTTCCACGGGGCACTGAGAGGATGGGTGATCTCTTCTCACTGCAGTCAACTGGCTGAAATGCTCACCTTTTCATTTTAGCATGTGAGAGGTGACATTCTGATCCCCGGAATTGTAAACTCAGACTCTCAGAGAGCTCAGGATGGCAAAATCCAACCTTTTC